GACGTCCACCCCCCCGCCTTCGTGCCGCCAATGGACCGCAGGGCAGTGGTGAACTCCTCCAGCTCCAGCGGCGGGTAGTCCTCCTCCCTGGCCACCTCCAGTGTCCTGATCAGCTGGAGCCTGAGATTCTCATCTACCCCCCGGCAAGTCCAGGATTTTCCGGAAAATTCCTGGACTTCCCTGCCGGTGTCGGTGCGCCCCGTGAAGCTGCAGGTGTCCTGCCAGAGGGCGCCCCACTTCTCGGCCCTCCTGTCCATGATCTGGCTCGGCTGCGAGAGTAGCTCCACGCGCCCTGGCCCTTCCACCACCAACTCGTTGACGATCGGCCTGTCGGGCTTCACATGCTGGTGGAGCAGGCCCGCGCGCTCGCGCCACGCCGTCTTGGCCCACTTGGTGAAGGCCCGACGTGACTCGCCAAGCGCCCTCGCCTGGCCTCTCGCCGCCAACTGGTCAGTCGTCTCCTGCAGCTGCTCCCGCGCGGGCCGGTTGAGGGCCCTGATGGCCTGGACCTGTTCGCACCACATGTCCATGCAGCCGTCATCGCCGAAGAAGCTCAGCAGGCCCTGGCCCTTGAGCTCCGTCACGAGGCCGCTCAACCGCGCCGCCACACAGACCCGCTGCTGCTCATTCTTCTTGCTACACATCAGGCTGTGGTAGCGTTGCACCAGCGTGGCGCAGAAGCTCATCTTCTCCGCCTTGTGACATCGCATGTGCGCCCTGCCCGGGGTAGAACGAACCCTCTTCCACGCCACCGCGTAGCCTCGGGCCCGCCCTCTGTACGCCGAGCGCTCAGTCTCGCATACCTCGTGCTGGTTCAGGACGGCCTCCTCCACCCTGCTCACCCAGTCCCCGTGCCGCTGCGACAGGCGCTGCTCCTGCACCCCAGGCCGCTGGTACGCCAGGTGATCGTCCATGGCCGCCGTCTCCGCCAGGTAGGGCTCGGGCTCCCGCGGCAGCACCGCATTCCACTGTCCCGCGGTGATCGCAAACGGCACCGTCGGTGCCGCTGGGGCTGCGTCCTCCTCCTCCTCATGGAGCTCGGTGAACGCCTCCCGGAGCACCTCTGGG